TAATTACCATTTGAAAACGTCGATTTCTGCAACAACTTTTATGGCATACACAAAAGCTCAACTGAAATGAGCATTAATTATATATTTTATAGAAATTGCACTAGATTTGCTGGCATTTAAACGCGTCCGAAAATTCTGTGCAAATTTCTTTTGCACAAACACACGCACACAAACTAAACACCAACACCAATACCGACACACACGCACACACGAAACAAGTAAAGCATATGAAAAGGCAGCGCAAAAAGTTGCCGCTGCGGCGACTGCGGCTGCTGCTGCTGCTGAAAGAAACGAAGAACTAGCCGAAAAAAGGCGGAGCGAGCGTGCACGAGCCGACGACGACCGCAAGTCAAAGCGTATTGAAAACGCGGCTCAAGTTCGAGTCGTCCAAGTCCTCCGGTTGTACAGTGCCAAAGTTGTTCAAAAAGAGAGCGAGATGAAAAGAGATAGAGAGTAAAAAATTGAGCGAGCGAGAGTGCGCGTAATTTTTGCCGCACTCAAAACTCTGCTCAATTTATTTATCCCAAGTCAAACCAAGCCAATTTGTTGCAATTGAAACAATAACCGTTGCCTGACAATTTATTGTTGCTGGCAAATTAGTTAATAAACGAAACAACAGTCGGTCTCCGTTTTGATTATAGGCGTGTGCATACAATTTCGCCGCACTGTAGCGCCTGAAGGAGCGCAGCCTGATGAGAGAAATGCATTCATTTCCAGTTGTACAATTTACGCACAGTGGCCCGAATGAAATTTGAACGCAACGGAAACCTGTCCGAATGAGATAGCTCATGAATATTTACTACCTGTCATTGTTTTTTTTATTTTTTTTTATTATTATTTCCCCAGATTGGTACGATAAGAATTAAAGGTCAATCCATTGAGGCGGGAAAACTTAATGATCGTTTGTAATTTGCATTCAGTCGTGTTTAGCATGGGAAAACTTGTAAAACTTGGCCCAAATCATTAACGTACCTAAATTTCAAGGGTAGGTATACAAATTTAAGTTGTTAAACTAATGGAATTTGTTTAACTGATTTAGTGTTTGAAATAATCTGCCTACAACAGATTTCAAATTGCATTTCGAAATGTTTTGTTTAGCATTATTATACCGTACATTTATTTTCAAAAACCTTACATTATCATTTAATGTTTTATTTTGACGTATATCAACTAATATTTCATTATTATTGTGATTTAATTTAACTTTTTTATGCATACAAAATAGGCTAAAGCTTTTATTTTAAAAGTTAAAAAGGGTTTAAATGCATTTATATTAAAATCCATTTTTGGTTAGACCGTTTGTTAAGCTTCCTTTTAACAGCAAACGTTCCACTGTGCGCTGTATGCCACAAAACATATCCAAACACACACACTCACGTATAACCAGAGACAGGCTAGTCAACCACTTTGTTTGCCGCATAAGCCAATAAGAGCCGAAGTCAGAGAGTAGAGATAGAGAGAGAGAGAGAGAGAGCGAGCACGCGCTCCACACGAGCTTCACACAAAAACTTCAAAAAAGGCTCCAACTCTATTAAATGGCCTGCGCACACTGCCGTTCTCTTGCTCTCGCTCTCAGCTCTATGCTCTCTGCTTTTACCACTTACGAGCGCTCTCTCGCTCTTACACAGAAACACTCGCTAAGCTGTCAGTTTACCCCCTCCCCCGCTCACATGAACGACAATTCTAACACTTCATTGGAGTCGTTTACGTTGTGTTGCGTTGCGTTACGTTGCGACGGCAACGACGCGTCGTCAAGTCATTTGATTCCCACACAAATCTCTGCATATTGAGCGTACGAGCGAGAGTCGCTCCCCATTATGGCAAGTGAGTTATGAGCCTATGTGTGTGTGTGTGCGTATGCGTGTGCGTGTGTTTGTACTGCGCTTTCTATTGATTTATATGAGCTTTATAGCGCAATCTGAGTGCTTTGCAACGGAGTACAAAGCTCAGTTGAACTAAACGCGCATTGAATTTCCAAGTGAACTGCCAAAGACAATGCGTAAATGACAGCTAAACATTTAATTGCCGACGAGCGCGTTTTGTAAAACAAGTAGGGGGAATAAATTATATCAAGCATCAGCAGAGCAGAGCTCAGCAGAGCCAGCGTCAGAGTTGCCATAGCGCCATTGTTGTCTGCAGCACGCGTCAGTAGCGGCGCTCAAGCGTAACGCAGCGCTGCTGCTGCAGTCGACGCTGACACGTGTTGGTTTATTAATTACATAAGCAGATGCAGCCGCAGAAGCAGAAGCAGCTGCATATTGCCTGGAAACAAAAACCAATTTCCTGCATAAGCGTATGGCAGCTCTGCCACAAAGGAGCCGAACAGCTGGCAGCCACTGTATACAACAGGGTATAAGAAGCAGCAGACAAAATTGACAGATGGCGCAGCCGCCGCCGACGTCGACGCCGGCAGCAGGACACGAGTGTCAAAACAAAACATTTCAAACACAATAGATCCATGGAACGCAAAGCAGCCGGTTTTTTTAGGATTTAGACAATTTCAGTAAATAAAGTTATAAAAAATAGACGAATTAGCGCTCACCTTTAGTATGTGTGGAAAAGCTATTTTTCTCACTGTTTGCGTCTTTCAATTTCCAACAAAAAAGAGCAATAACAAAGAGCAAGTTAATCACATTAAAACACAACCGCGACGAAAGTTGACACACAAAAGTAAACAAATGTAAAAACTGTAACAGGGCATTAATTATTGTATTTTTCGTTGCCTGTTTTTATGGTATTTTCTTCCAGCACTCTTTCACTCACACTCACGCACACAAATGCACAGATACAAATGGCGCGCGCGCGACTCATAAAAGTAAAACATAAAACCAGATTAATTTTTTGTGCAGCCGAAAAAGAGTTTATTAAGCTGCGCTGCTTACGTAGTTGTTCCCGAGTTGTTGTTGTTGCTGTCGCTACTTTTTATTGTTTGCTACGCCGCCATTTTCTTAGTTGTGAACTCGTTATTTTAACTAATTTTGTGCTCGCAGCTCACATTGGATTTAATTTATACACTTTTTTGTGCTTTTATTAAAAACATTAATTGGCTGTATACGATAATATTAATTAATTTATGCGTTTTTAATCACAAAATCTGATCTGCGCGACAAAGCGACGCGAACCAACCCAACCACTCAGCAAGAAAACAAAAACATAACTGAGTCTGGCTGCATACTTAAAGCGGCAAAATACCAAGCCGAAAATAATAGTTATCGATAACAAGCTATTATTTTGCAGTATATTTTTTGGATTTCTTAAAAACAAAATACGAAATAATATATGGTAACAAATACAAAAATGGTTTTTTAATGATAATAGAAATAATACCCTGAAAACAATTTCTAAATTGCTGAATACTCATTTTAATAAAATTAATAATTAAACTACCAGTGGATTCGTATATTATAATTATATGAAATTAATTAATGATTCTTATTAGAGGGAATATGGCTAATCATTCACTAGTCAAACACCAATCGATAAGGCTTTGAACGATAGACTTGAACAATTTGTGCCATCGATACATATTTAAATTTCTGTAGTCCCACCATTAGTTTTCAGTATAAAACAGCGCGATTCGTTAGCAACATACAGCCACACTTGTTGCATTTGTATAAAATGTTACAATTATTTAAACAAAATTGATGGCAATCAAATAAGTGAAAAAGTGCGTGCGCTTAAACCGTTTTTAATTTAATTATGTGTTACATTTGAGTTGAGACTGCAAATAAGATTTCTGTTTTTGTGCCGTGCCGTGTTCCGTTCGCCTTAGTATTTTCTCTAAGTGTGTGTGCGAGTGTGAGTGAATGTGTATGAGAGTGCGCTTATTGCTATTGCCTTGTGCGGCGGCATTTTTGGTTAAACAAATTACGACGACTAACAAAAGTAAGCATAATCAGGTGAAATTAAGTAAAGCGACGGCTTATTGTCTTGCAAAAATACGAACGCAAATAGAAACTCTTGAAAGCGCAGATTTGCTAAATGCAAATGAGCCAAAGAGAGAAGAAAAGAGGAACCAAAAAAAAAATACAGGTTGTCGCGGCTACGCTTTGGCATTTGTTGGCTTGGCTTGGCTCTCGCTCTGTTGTTGTTGTTGTTATATTGGACTGCCTGCCTTTTTAGTTGGTCAATGCACGGCGTTAATTAAAGCTGTATAAATTCTCGTAGTTTTGTGGGCCGAGGGTTCTGTTTGCGCAATAAGTATTCTTAACATTGTTGCTGCTAGTGTTGTGTTCTAATTTTCTTTATTATTTTCCATTCTTTTGCGTTTCTCTGAGAAGTGGGCGTAACGCCTTTTAACAGTTGATGCTATGAATCATGGCATTGCAATGTTAGTTGGCAGCACACAAAAAATATACATATGTATGTACTTACGGCGCAAGCAACAGAAACAACAACAGGCAGACACCTGTGGCATCTTGTTTATGCTGTCGGCAGCTTGAACCGGTGCGGTTCAAAAGTCAAATTTGACAGCTGCGTGGCGCATCCTAAAATGAGATTTGAATTAAAAAAGCTCTGAACGAGAGCAATAGATGAAAAGCGTTTCATCGTAAGCTTTAACGCGCGCGTGTGTTCATGTGCTCTGGTGGCTGTGTATGTGTGTGCCTGTCTTATGCATCTGCAGCGGACTGGAGGGAAAAGAGATTGAAAAAACGCTGTTAAGTCAAGCACTGTTGAAGCACTGCATAACAGCGCTGTTAAATATAACATGGAATCTGTTAAAGTACTCGAAGTTAAACTAAAATTTTAAATATTATATTTTTCAAATTACATAATTAAAAAAATAGACATTCTAACAAATTTATTTATAATGTTAAGCCTGACATCTCATAACAAAAAAGATAATATTAATATGTTAACATACAAGAT